TATTAATTTTGTTCAATTGTTAGCATTAATATTACTGATTCGATTGGCTGTCTGAATTTACTGTGTTTATTTGAATAATTTATTCATATAAATAAATATTTTTCAATAATTTGATAAGTTAAACGTATAGAATTACTTGAACGAATGAAGAACAAAAACTTTTGATGATGCAATCACTTAAGTACCATTATTCAAACTTACTATTACCAGAAAGACTTGTCTCATTTAAAAAGAGACAGATTGTTTTCAATCAAGACTCTTACTTACGAAAGTTTCTGAATAGTTTTTTTATTTATTTAAAACTCCTAAACTTTTAGAATTTGTATAAGAATGTTAAGTTGAATCTATAGGTGATCATTTTTAATCCTAAGAGCTGAGAGAATTCAATTAATTTATATGAGTATTCGTCAATATTGATCGAACAGTTTGATAGAAACTGAGTTCCAGCACATAGAAGACACTATTCGTGCAAAGTTATATTTGAAATAATCTCAGTGATAGAAATTCTAGCGTAATTCTAGCGTTTCTTTCAGTAATCTTGTCTGAATATCTTCAAGGTATTGATCAGAACCAAGATTATCGAAGAACAGTTTCAATCACTAAGATTATTTCAAATATAGTTCTCGGAAATAATGTCCAATTAACTTACTTTTCATTATGATCAGAAGGCTAAATGATATTAACTCAAGTCATTTAAATTTCCGATTAGAAATTAACGACTGTATATTAATTTATTTCTTAAACATTAACTTTTTCAGCCGCATATACTTTTGAATGAATTTATGTTTTGTCGTTGATGTTAAGGACTTCAGTGCACTCAAGGCAGGTCACGTAAATACTGTCATCTAGTCATAAGTTTTTGTTAAAGCGGCCAGTAGTAGATTTTAGGATTAGTGTTTCGTTCAATTTAACGTTCGTCACCAGGACTTAACCCCATCCTCAGTAGTATGGTGGACAGAGCGTCGATGTTTGAAGTGATGAGTAGTGGGTTTAAATCTCAGTGTGAACATCAATATTTGGATTCAGATACATTTAACAGATGAACTTTAAACAGGGCGAAACGCATACCTTAGATTGATTGTAAGCAATAATCTAACTTTTTGATAATTTTCTACATATCTTTCTAGTAATTTTAATCTAAAGGTTAGTTATCATTACTAGTTTGTCTCATTAAAAAGTTAGACGCTTGGAATAAACCATAAAATTGTTAACATCTCTAGATTATAACCATGGATATGAATCAAAAATTTAAGAAAATTTACTAATAAGTGGGTATTTGTGCCACTTCAAAGGTTGAATTCCAGTGGAATGGCTTTTATAATATAAACGTTTGTTTATCCATATTAATTATTGTCTATTTGTGTACTACATATTGATTTAGGAGTTAATAGTTTGAAAATATTAAGTAGGCGTGATATAACAATCCAAGACAGTTGAGCTAAGAGAATTGTGTGCAGTTAAAAACAATGTTCATCATTCAAGGAATTATCAGCATGAGAGAAGCATGAAGCTATTAAGTTTTAACAAATAAACAAACTGACAAAATGAATAGGCATGTAAAGAAGAATTAAAACTGAAGCTCCTCTTAAAATCATACAAAATAATTTTGTACTTTATGATTATAGTCTGCTGGAAGTTGAAAAGCCTACTAAGTTTGTCGGGATTCTAACATAAACAGCTAGTTTCTAAACTGTAGAAAATTGATTGATAATATACTATAATATACACAAATAATAGACAATAAGGTTAGTGTAGACTATTCTTTTCAGATTTCGAAAGCTCGTCAAAGTTACTTTGGTTGAATCTATATCCATAACTACTTTAAAATAACGTGTAATATTGACTTATCGATTTTCAATAAAATAAACCTAAATACTTCACATAGATTGGTCATGTAAACAGAATGAATATTTATTGACTACATTTAACAGTAACAGTTAGTTAGTTTTGTTATCTTTGAAGTTAATAATAATGTTTGAAACGAAAAAACATACTAGCATACAAAAATAGTTAGTGTATAGAGAAATAAACCTGTTTTTGTGCATACACCAAGTTTTTCTCATATTTTAGCCGTGTACTTGTGTCCATATAATACTGATTGTTTTTTTAGTAATGACAAAAGAATCATTTTCTCAGTGTTACTTATTATGACCAAGTATACAATTATTTTTAATGAATTGATATTACTTTTTTTTGCTTGAAAAATCAGATGTGAACTTCTAGACAGTTCATATGAAAAAGCTTCCTTTATAGTTAATATTTGTAATATTAGCTATGATTAAATTATTTTGATAATTTATTGTGAATATCAGACCATATGTTTAGTTTCTATTGTTTCGTCCTAACAATATAAATCATTACTTTTTTCTTACAGTGAATATAATGCATACAGTAATCAATGTCAATAAAGATTTTTTCTGTTAGGTAAACTATTATTCATCTAGACTTAGTCAATTGAGTGAAACTAAGCTTAAGAGGAAACTATCAAATAAACATTAGCAAATATATGAATCTTAATTGTTCTTGTACAATATTGACTATTTTTACCGTTCTGTTGTGGTGAGTAGGATGTAAACATTACAAGAATAAATCTGAATATGAAAATATTTCATGATTATAAAAACTAAATGAACATCTAACTGAAACTAGAATGTAAACACAGAAGTTTAACTGATTTTTGATTAAGATTTGGAAAACGTGTGTGAAATATCAAATTGAATGTCATTTGCAATTTTTTTCTCACGCTTGTATAGTCCCTCAAAGAACAAAGAAACTAAGTCACTCACTATTTGATTCACTCAAATTAGTGTTGATCTCTTTGTAACAGACAAGCACACAAAATTACATGTACTATTAGCCAATCAGGAGTTAATTTGGTGCCATTTGACCTTCAAGTACAAAATTTATTGATTTTCAATAAAATTCTTGGTTAAATGTGCTGTTCATGCTTATGGAATAGAATAGATTTTCTTCATTGCATCATGATACGCTATTGTCAACTAACGAAAAATTTGTAATAAATTTTGGCTACAAATTTTAACCCAAGTTTTTAAATCCACTTGTAACAACAAATAAAGTAGAGAGTGTTCTGCTAACATAATTGTACTTGTCATTTTGTTTGTACAGGTACTGCCAAACTTTGAAAGGTGTTCCTGTTAATGCTTATCTACACTGATGTTCTCAGGCGTTTGTACTTTGCAAAAATTCAACTAAGCTACCTAACAAATCTAACAATCTAAATAAATGAACAACAAAAGTTTTTGATCGGCTGACGACCCAGAAGCTCGTCATATCAATTCCAAATAAGTTGGTGGTTATATAAGTTCAAAAATTAATGAGTACACAGCATTATTTTCGCCAAATAAAGGATGTATAAACTTATTTCTCCGTCAAATGTAATCTGAAGCATTAAGATATAAATGTTCAGTCACTATAATTAGAGATGATACTTGTAACTACTTAACAGTTGCATGAAGTCAGAAATAGACTTCCTCAAAAACTAGCTGATTAGATTCTACTTAAGATCAAAGTTTCTCATTTATTGTTATCACCAGTTAGTAAATTAATAAGAAAAATGAGATAGGTAACGTAGAAATATTTATATAACAAGTTTAACTACTTTATTTGTTTTCCAGTAGCATAAAATTAAAATGCATTTTGCAATCGAAAGTTAATTGTAGTATTTTGAATTAACATTATTTGAAGAGTGTGAATCATCATAGTACCAAATATTTTGAGATATTCTTAATCATCCTTTATGTTGTCTTAACGAGGTTGTAGGTTTTAAAAATAATGTTTAGTTTTCATTATCTTATTGATCACAATTAGTAAGTAGTCTTGAATTCTAAAACATTTATCTTGTCATTATTCTACTGTGATGCTAATGACAGAATTATTTACACCTAGAATAGAACAGATCAGTTGGCAGTGTAAAATAGTGTATCAGCCATTTAAGGTGAAATTCTACTATTTTCAGCATTCTTTTATCATACAGTGACTAGCTGCGTGGCTGATTATTAAAACTGTAATAAAGAAAGCATGACTTTAAATATATTGGACTCAGTAGCTGTATACGTATATGCTTATTATAAGAAATTATTTTAAGAAAATATGTTATCATTATAATTTGAGATTTCAATATTATTTTTAAATAAATAGTAGATAAGAAGAGTAAAAATAATACATTATGAATTAGAAATTAATAAGTAAAGAGTTAACAATCAATAAGCTTATATATAATTCTGCAACCAAGTGAGATAATTTAAAAAAACACACCTGACAGTCATTTTTGTTTCTTCATATAAATATTAGTATTGTATGCACTTCTAAATTTAGAGAGGATACATTAGGAAAAGTAATAATTCCCCATGTAACCAAATCTGAGGTTCCTTTATCAAAAAAGACATTTTGAACACTTGTATATGTTTACATAAATAGTTGTATAGATTTTGTTTCCTTGTCTGTTTACTAGTCAAACTATAATTAGATTTTATACAACTTACTTCATTAGTTAATTACATTAATGGTTTGGTGTAAACCCTAATATTTAGAGGCCAACCAAATAATAATTGGTCAAAACTTTTTAGTTTTTAATCGATTTTTGTGCTAGAAAGTTACTGTGACTAGTTTAAGTTTCAAAATATTATCCCCTGCTCATCGATCTTCCACTTCAGTGATGCGTTAGAACAATCGCAAAACAGGCTGGTGAGGAAAATTATTGGATTTCGCAGAAATTAACTGTCTACTGAAAACTAATGAGCACAGCTAACAAGGTTGATCAGTTGGTTATGTAATATTCTGTAGATATGGATAAGGTTGTAATGAGTTGAAGAGGATCCACAAAGGATGATGAGTTTATGTTATTCTGCTGAGACTGCAATACCAATAATAATCGAATTTCTAACCGGGACTAATTGTATGAAACATCTTAAACACTAACAACATGTAGATAAGTTTTTAATTAAAATTAAATATTAGATTAAACAGTTAAAATTACTTACTTCAACAATTTGATCTCCAGCCTTGAGACCAGCTTTCTCTGCGTTCCCATCTGTAGTGAACGGTTGAAAATGAACAAAAAAACAGAATTTGTAAATTAAATGAAAGTATAATAATTAAAAGTTGGATGAAAGCAAAATAAGTACACTACACAAATCTTCACTGTTGTTGTTAAATCGTGATTAAAGTTGGCTATCATTAAACATTTTGGTTCTGCTCAGTGTATATATTAGACCCACAGAAATAACAATTCTCGGAAACTATATATGAATACTTCACTTTCTGTATCAATAAGTCTGTAATTGTATAAGGTCACTTGCATAGATTGTTTCTGAATAATTAGTTAGATGAACATCCGTAGTAATCATGTGGTCGGGTTGAATTAAAGCAGTTAGCTGTTCTTGTTTCTATCTATCCTTTTCAAACAGCTACATCCGTATTTCATTTTCGGTCGTATATGATTTCACAACTAATCATTCAAGTAATCTCTTCTGATTTTTTTTTACTATTGTAAACTTCAAGTGTTTACCGTCTGTTAGGTTATTAATTATGCAGCAGATAAAAAATCGACAGAGTATGAGTATTTGACACATCATTGAAGTTGAAAATGTCATCCTATATGTTAAACATAACCAAAGAGCTGTTTGAACCTTAAAAGACGTAGCGATTATCCATTGATAAGAGAATTAGCACACAATCAACAGAATCATCGGAAACTTGTAAAATATTCATAGGTGAATAAAGAAAATACAAAAATCCAAACAAAATAACTTTACGGCTTAGCAAATCCATTGTAACTGGAAGTCAATTGAATGGCATATTTAGTTTTGCGAGAATTTGTCATTCTTAAATATGATAAAGGGATTGTCAAATGAACATCACTTTGAATTTATGACAAAAAAGAAAACTATGGTTGTATAAATTATTCTTTATGATCATTAGTGTATGATTTTTGAAAATGACATTGTCACAAATAAAACTCCGTTCAATGGAATCAATTTTTCCGCCAAAGTTTAATATACATTGAGCTTTAATTGTTTTGTTTGTTCTGTTTCTTCATTTTTAAATTTGATGATTATTTCAAAAAAAAAAAACTATTTCTACTCTCTACTGGTTAGATATGATGTGCTATTTATATATTTCATAATAGATTATTGTATTTGTTGAATTTGACAGATATTCACTGTCAAATGGTCTACTATGCATGAAGTTTGTCACTTGGATAATTTACAACTATTCATATCTAAAGATTACTTAATAATTACATTTCTTGATAGCCTTACTACATTTTCGGACTATTTTTTTAATGACTAAGGATTGTGGAGTTAAAAAAAATATCATCGCTTAAAATCTCTCATTAAAAATTTAGGCATAAAAACGATATCTTAGTCTTAAACATTGGTTATGATAAATTCATGTGTGCTGAAAATTTCCTCTGACAGTTACAGCGTCATCGAGATTTTTTATACAACCAAATGATAGATGATGGTAAGCAAGAAAAGTAGAATTTGAAGTTTCTACACTTTGTTATTGCTTTTCTTTCCTTATGAATACACTAGTAGATTAATTATTCAACGATGAAAAGTAGGTATAATTCTGTAAAAAAACTATATAACGTGCTTTTAAGTTAAAAGAAAAGAGTATTGTCATCTTTAGAAAATGAAAAATATCTTTAATTCAATAGGCTACTTACAATAAATAGTAAAACTGGTTTAAGATTAATTAAATTCAAATATCCTATAGTTTACCTCTAAAGTATAAACATATCTTTTTGCGATTACACACTGTAAAAGGCTCAAGAGTAATAATTGTTTTAGGATTTTAGCTATGCATATTGTTAGTAATTTTGTTATGTGTATAGTATTAATCTGATTTAGTGTATTTTGAATTATTTTTCACATAACTGTGAGAGGAACAGATGTACAAAACAAAACAAAATTATTTATACTCATTTTGAATGTAGATTTCATTGACAACCAGTAACAGTTATAGAAATAATAAAACTTGAAGGACGTCGAACAATTGTTATTTTTAATTTTCGGATAGCTACGGATGAAGAGAAAAAATTTTGAATTCAATTTTATAACATGAACAAAGATAATGGGTTATCTTCTTGTTAGATTTAGATTTATCAAGGAATGAAGTGATATCCTGGAGAATACATCGATTTGCAAAACTGCGTAATCCCCATGATCATTTTTCATTAGTTTTTGAATGAAAAAGAAAAAGATTCAACTAAACAAATGGGGGAGGGAAACAAAGTTATGAGGGAAAAACACTATGAATCAAACCAGTTTAAATCAGAAAATTGCACTATCATGTCACTTAGTTCCGATGATACAATATATTATTTAAAGAAGCGAAACGTTTCATCTTTATAGTTACTTCAGACAGATATCTTTCTACGCGAACAAGTGAAAAAAGTGACTTAGGAACCAATAAGCTAGTTTAAATTTTTTTTAGTGACAAAATAGAATTTATACTACTGAGATGTTGTAAGTAGCTCAAACGTTGTTCGATCGATATTAGAACAAAACATGCAAAGCAGAGCAAAGTATTAGTTATATTTTAATCAAGTCCACTCTTTTCTAAACGTTTGTATACTTGAACCATGTGCATATACTCAAGTAGTGTTATGACATCATGTCAGGTTATTGTAAATTAATATTATATATACAAGGCAGGAAATATTTTATCAATTACTGTATAAATAGCTATAGTTAAGCTCACTTCATAACATTTTGATTTTAATTTATCATAATTATAATAATGTTGTAACAGGAAATGACAATAAATTTACCATGGAATGGGTAAGCAAAATTATTTTGCATGTATGTATATACATTAGTCACTAATTTACATTCCCACTTAATATAATAGTTTATAAATAATTTTTTGTCAAATTAATCTGCTGTTCAAACTTCTATGAAATTCAGCAGCAACTACAATGGAAACCTATCCGTTTCAAGTGACATTCTCGGTGTAATTTTGAAGTTGATAAACATAATTCACCGGTACTATCAAAGAATACTGGTCGTGGACTTTATTTAAATTTGCGCAGACTTGATGAAATTCTTCAAGATTACATCCTTGAACTAATAGAAGCATGGCGACCCATTCAAAACCGGGAAATATAAACCAGCTGTTTAAGCTAACAAAATACTGATCACCAAGTGAATTAAAAGAAATCAAAAGCATTTAAGGGTGTTAACTTTGAGCAGTCCATTAGGCAGAGTGGTTATCGTCACTCTAACATCTTATTATTTAATCTGTTAATCTGTACGATTCGCGGAGCTTCTACTAGGACTTTCACAAGTTCATGTGAACAAAAATACTGATATGCGATAGATCACCAAAGTTGATCACTTTTTCTTTCTGTCTTGTTTCAGGTTGATATATCAACATTTTAAAGAGATGTAACCATTTGGATAAAATTCAGTTGTTTAAATCTTCCCACTTATGTCTACTACTGAAATTGGTCAATCTCTTTTGAAAATCAAATCTGAGTTTCAAGTACATTCAGCTGATGAGTCCCAAGTAGGATGGAACACGTGTCTTTACTTTAATCCTCACTGTGTATGGTAGTAATTAAATTATCAACAAATTAAATCCATTACTTTTCGTCTTTGAAATTTCAGATCTATTTTAGTTCATCAGTGTACACCGATTAGTGATTGAATCAGATAATTGGCTATTAAAATAGAGTATGTATGACTTTATAGCTGTAGAGTTTTGGAACGTGGTTTTACGAATACTTTTTATATCTCATATACAGTACTCAATGCTTTCTGTTGTATTGCTCATAAAAAATTTGTACCTTTTTTCCATTATCTTGTTAAAATTAATAGGCTTTACTCAGTTATTTATTCATAATCAATTGTCAAATTTTATCAAGACTATACACTTAATCTCCTCATGCCTTTTAACTAATTTTGTAAATTGTAATGGTCGCTTTTTATAATGCTGTCCCGAAGTTGACTTCACTGTCTTGTGAGCTACCGGATGATATGTTTTATTTGCTAAATAACGTGAACAAATCGAAATTATATTCTAAGGATAGTCAAATTTAATAAGATTTAAACAGTGAGACATGAATAAATTCCATTGTATCAGTTATGAAGTCATCATTAAAGTGAGTGACTGATATCATTGTGAACTGTGACACCATGTAATTCAAACGATACAGGGATTATTAGTTCCATACAAGACGGCAATATATATATTGTTATGTTCGTCACTATGTACGCTTGAAGCTATTACGAGTTCACCTTAGTCAATAAACGCAAACGAGACAATTACCAGGGTCCAGGTAGGCTACCTTGATCCCAAAACTGCAAAACAGAAGACTTGGTAGGCGTAGAAAGTATATGCTACAACACCCAGCAACCACAATACAATCAAGCACACAACTCTCGTTTATTTATACATCATAGAAACGTCTTTGGGACAGTTACGAAAATAACACACCAAAATACACAGCAGCCAATCACAGCCATGGATCTTCCTGGTGAGAAATGAAATCTCAAGGTCAACTGATCAGACCATGCTCGCAAACATGAAATCCAAAATAAGGCATTTAACAAGCGAGTTTTCGGGGATCTAACATCCCCAACATATATATATATATATATATATATATATATATATATATATATATGATGAACTTGTAAGGTCATATAAGTAAGGGACAATACTAAGCGTTCAGATACGAGTATCTTAATTATACAAGCAGAAACAGTGTTGTGACTAGACGAAATAAAACCAGCAATGGATAATAAAATGCATAATTTAAAAAAATGACAAAGGTATCTGTTTGAGACTATTACATGAGTTACGCAATTTCATGCATTATCTTTCAAAAGAAGATGAAAAAGAGTTGAGATAAAACTAAATTGGACAAGGAAAGGTGTTTCATTATATTCAAAGTAGAAAACAAACAACTGAAAAGTTTCCATAGTTGTGTACTCTTTGATAAAATACTCCTAAACTCTATCTTAATGTGGTATCCGTTATTAATTAAATAAAATGATTTTTTGAACAAATTGATAGTAATTTCTACTACGAACTGGCATAATTTGGACAATCATTGAAAATTATGGCTCATTGACTAATTGTTAGTGTCACTTTTATTTTAGAATAATTAACAATGGACACTTACGTTCGTACATGTGTAATAAAAAGCTTTTAATTTACTAAATTTCTCAACAGGAATTTTTTCAGTCAAAAATAGGATGTGTTTGGAATTTTAAGAAAAAAAATACTCAATAGAATGTATGTATGAACAATAAACAATGAATAGATGAATGAACTATGTGTTTCACAGTGAATTCTTGTTACTTATAACTTTTTCACATATTACCACAGTGTCGTTTTAAAGGGATGATAAAAATAAATATAGCAAAGAGCATTATATACGTACACAAATGATAGCATGAACAAATCGCCTAGTGTAATGACATAATAACATGCCTTGTAAACAACAAAAAAGAATTCATTCATGATGTTCAAATGTATATCAAAAGATCATAAAAAAAAGTAGTACAGATGTAACTAAAAAGAAGGCAGAAAGAGACTGTGTTCTTTTGGATAGAATAATGGTCAAATCGCTGTCTTTTTTTACATTATTCCTCATGTGAATAATGTCGACTAGCTGAAAAGCAGTTTTGTACATTTGTGCATTTGAATGTGATTATACCTACTATGTACTTGCTTTTTAAAAGTAAGAAAAATGTGAAAAAACATGAAACTGATATTTATAAACCACATTACTGAAGTGTTTTTATTGCATTTGAATTATTTTACAAAGTATTAGTGACATAACAAACAGAGGAAATGTTATACTAGTCACGTTTTTTTGTTTTACTATATTTGTAGAAAGTGGCATTTTCGAGTTCATCAAAGATGTGTAAAAATAATATTTATCGTCACAAATTACAATGCGTTTTTTTCAGTTATTGATAACAAACTGGTTAAAGGTCAAATTCAGTCGTCAATACTTAATGAAGTGTCTCTGGAGAAACTGAGCAATTCCAATTTATTATATCAGAATCGGATTATGAATTGTCTCTTCATTGTAAAAGGATCGAAAAATTGTTTTTGATTCCTAAATGAAGTATCGTCTACTTTCGAAGCTAGATCTTACTTAAACCAGGTAGTGCGACCTTGATGGCCTTCATTAAAGTATTTCAAGCATCTTAGTGCGATAGAAATGACTAGTTTAAATTCGCTAGTTCGTTTAATAAAGGCGAGATTATTTACCCACTCTGCTTTTCAGATCGTGATAATAAGTGTATTGTCACTCGATTATTTTTAATACCAGCAAAGATGTTAAACTGCCAAATGGATCATAAATGTGAAAAATGTAATCTCTGATGCTTAGGAACCCACGTAGGAGTCAGGGGACATCCTAATGCCTGCTATTCCATCCAAATTAAAAGAATTCATCTAAGTACCATAAAAAGGAAAATCAAATAGCATAATTTTGAAGCGTAGACTGAAACCAGCCGTCGTTAAGGCAAGTATAAAATTACCAACAGAACGGAAGATATCGTTACATGTAACTTTGCCTAGCTGTCATTATTGTGATCATATAGAATGGGAATAATGAACCCTTCTAAATAATTGCCTAATATACCTGATTCCTGAAAAGTAACTACTTTCATTGCCTAAAATAAATACCAGCCTTGAACCAGACACGAATTATTTCTAATCACCAAATCTCGTGGGATAACTTCTAGAAATTGGTCACTAGTGAACGCATTTTTATTATTAGTAAATATATAATTACATATAAAAGTTATATGCACATTTACAATAACATATTTACCTTTACGAACATTATGCACTGACACAGGTTTATTGCCACAGACTCGAAATCCATAACCATATTCATCTCGTTGAACAATTGTTCGAAATTCTAACGCTACACTATGATTATTCATTGTTGAATTTGTTGATTGTGCTTTCAGATTTTGACTTTGTTTCCGTTTGTTGGTTTTTCCAATAATTTTACTACTTTGATTATCAAGATTATAATTTTCTATTTCCATTTCTTCATTCACATTTGATTCAAAGTCTTCACATGGCGATGATTCCGCGGTACTATAACGACTAGCTGGACTATCTTCATCATCATCGTCATCATCATCAACATTATTATTATTATTATTGTCATCAGTATGATTATAAATATCATCATTAGTGTTATTGTTGCAAGATGGCAGTGGAACGATTTTCTCTTCGTTTGTTTGCATTATTGTATTGTCATTATGAAATTCGTCAATTTGTCTTATAAATAAGTCATTCAGTTCAGCATTTTGATTATTCACAACAGCATGATCATTAATTTTTGTAGTTGGCGCTGAATTATTTGTACAAATTAAATTTTGTTTAATTTGAGTTTCAGGACAACTTGATATTTGTGTTTGACTTAAATTCGAGAAAGTACAAAAGGAAAAAAAATGATTTATTGTATAAAGAAATATCAGAAAACAGATTTTCAAATCATTATTGTCATTTATATTGGTTATTAAGATCAATCTCTTTTCAACGTCGAATCTGTGCTGCAGACACGTTACGCTGATGAGTCCAAAACCGAATGAAACATGTATCCTCAACTGCACTGCTGGCTATTATCTATTTCCGGTTATAGTGATCGTGATCTAGTGACGATATTGAGATACAGGATATATGTAGACCCAAGAGAGACGGATCACTAACAGTCTTAAACGTTAGTGGGAAGATTCAAAGAACCAATAAATATGAATGAAACTTAAGCGCATTACACAAGTTAGTGGCTATCAGGGCACAGTGGATAAGTGGACAATGAGGTAGTGTTTGAAGCGAACGGTACCGGGTTTGATTCCTGGAGTGAACATTAACTCGAACGAAGGTACATACACTTGGCGAGTCATAAACAGGACGAGAAGAGCGTCGTAAATAGCACTTAAGGTTACATTTGTAAAAATGAATTAATATTATTTACATTGCTTACACTTTGTCGTCCCATTATATGATACAATCAGAATAAACCTTCCAAAGTCTAACCAATCTGATATTTGAAAATAATCTGAAAACAAATTTCTTGCTTCAATATTTCAACAGTGTTCTAAAAACTATAGTTAGCATTTTTTGAATATGACTAGATAACTTATGTTTGAATGCTCTAATAAAGAATTCACTAAGGAAATTCCCACCTAATATACTATTGTTACTTTTGTTTCCCTTGTATTGATGGTCCGGATAATACAAACGAACTCAAAATATTTGTAACTGTAACGCTGTTTAATATTCTCTCTATAAATATTTATACTGATCCTGTTATGAATAACCAATTACTTAATAAACATATAACAAGAAATATTCGATGACAAAGTACATTCATTTCATCGTGTATGATTTAGGTTTTCTGCAAACTCATAAATGAGAAGTAGCTAAAGGAAAAGAGATAGACTAAAGAATAAACTGATCCGAGAAGTGGAGATAGAAATTAAAAGAATGAATGACAATTGTATAGAACTGGCAAGGAAGACAGAAGAGAGACTTGGTCGGAGAATGTAGGTCGGTAGACTATGCTCCATTGGGGGGAAATCTCAGTTTAGTAAAAAAACAACTGTCTAGTCTTTTATTATTCCCCAAGTAATATCATTCCATATAAAAAATAAACTTTAAAAATTAAAGTACTTATTGATAACAATCAAAAAGTGTTCAAAAAGATCAAAATACAATTATTTGCATGTGAGTGAAACGTTGATTTAATCTTTAAAATTGAAAAATATTAAACATATGAAATAAAGCGAATTCAATTTTATCCCACAGTTATCATTATTATTCTTGAATTATAAAAAATTTGTTCATTAAACTGTGTCTACAAAATAAACTGTAAAAGTGATTTCTGGCTTTTACTGGCTTTCTAACTAACATCTTTTCGTGTTGCGAAAAATTTCGTTTATTGTTTGGGAAAAATGAAGCAAATAGTCACATTTTCACAAGTAAATCGTGCGTTTGTTATTCTTTAGGATATTTCAATCCAGACGTTGAATTTGTTTCTAGTATGAAGAAATGGAGTAAACGTGGGAAACAAAAAATGTAGTTTAATCATTTTTATTGATTCACTGATGGTTTACATTTAGTGAAGTTCATTTTCTACTGGATCATCAATTACCCTCCAGTGTTTATGACTGTTTTTTCTTAACAAGGAGACCATATTGATGACACTTTTTATTTAATTATTGTAATTAATTTTCAAAATTTTAATGTTATATAGTTCGTTGCACGGATCACTACTAGCTTGCAAACTCTTCCATGAAAACAAATCAATTTGAATAGCATTATTTTAATATTAGTTGACTGAAAATACATCATGACAATTAAAGAGAATTACAATTGATTTTATAAAATTTTTTAATGTTAAATATGTTAAATATGTAACTAGAAAAATTATTGACTAACAAAACAGAAATAAATTAGGTATATTTACAAAACTTTGTACATTTTTCATTTCAAGCAAATGAAAGACTAAGTATAATCCTTTGTAAAAGCTACATTTTTCTCAGTCATTATCCCATTCGGTATTTACTACACAATAATAGGATATTTACTGATTAGATCTAATTTATAATGAAAACACAAGAATCTTACAGAATGCTAATTAAAAAAGGCTTTCAGGCGATTGATTTTGATCATTTAAATTAGGTAACAATAATGATAAGAAATCATCTGTTTTGTTAAATGTTCAATAACTGTTATTTAAGTCATTATTTGGATACTGCATTCTGTCTGATATTCTTCTAGTAAAATATATATATATATATATATATATATATATCCATTAATATTATATACGTTTGAAAATTTTAGATTTAAAAATATTGCATAAATGGCTTGTAAAAAAATTTCATCTTATATTGAACATGATACAAGACTTTTTCTATTCAGCCGATTACCTCTTTGATTCTGCTGACGTTATTCATGTTAAAAATGTCAGGACAACTTTTCCATTATTTTTTACTGGTGAATCTGTTCAATTTAGAAAGATAAATAATGGTTAGATAGAAAGCTAAATCAACTACTAGTAACAAAGTAAACCTTTATCATTGTTAATAATGTATACAGTTAGGGCAAATCTATCTAATAGGCATAGTCTATTGAAAATGTCTGGACACATCTTAAGGAATCGATGTTACGACAAAGGAAGAGATTTTTTTTAAACACGTTGAATTTTATGATAAGTAAGACATTTTTAGATTAAGAAAAACAACAAAATAGTCTTTTTTTGACAACATAAAATTTTGGATATCAAATATGATGTATATAACTCTGTTCATACCTAATGTCAGAGGATGAAGAATGGTGAAAAATAAAGTAGTATAAGATGATGATGACTGAATGCAATGCCTTAGTAGTTTCGATTCTTAGGTTAAGCTATTAAAGATATTTACTTCAATACAGAAATACAGGAATACAATTGAAACTGTATCTGTTGTGGTGTTTACGTTCTCTGAACTGGATGTTTCGGTTGTGGCGCTTTCGTTATTCTTCTGAACAACAACAACGAAAGCTTCAGAACTGAAACATCCAGTTCAGAGAACGAAACACCTTAACAATCATCCACCTGAGCTAAACATTTTCTCCACCGTCTTAAAATTGTATCTGTCACAGAAGAAATTTTAATAAGTAATTGTATGAAGTAAAAACAGAGAGAAAAGTAGTAATCATTTCGAAATTTGAAAAGCTATTTCAAATTGAGTTTTCTTTTTTCTAACATTTATTTGTCATGGCACTTATCAGTAAACAAATCTTTTTACATTAAAAGCAATGCGTTATGAATATAACTATCGGTTGAGAAGCTATTGATAATCAAAGATCACTGGATATTTGTTATGCGCTGGTTTCTGATTTCTCAACAATGGTTCATTAAAAATTGTTTAGAAGTTTAGATTTGGACCTTAATATCTCTCAAGAGACATGTGCCCGAATTAACGTTTATAACTTCATTTGATTCATAGTTTATTCAACCAAGATGATCTTTGAGCGATTCGCTCTTAGTACGATATTAATTTGTTATGAAAACTATAAAATACCCTCAAAATCACCATACGTGTCAAAATATTTACTGCGTATTTTCTAGCTGGAAAATTGGACAATGAACACATCCAATTCGCAAACCCATGAATGTTTTTATTAAAATAAAGAAGAATAGAGAGATTCCAAGTCAATTAACAGATTAAACAACTTCGTTCTTTTGCTTTAAAAACGTATCAAACGGTAAAGTTGATAGTAGGAGATTGAATATCGCCCCTTTCATTACTATTTTGAGATTTTCCTTGATAGATAATTACATAATAGTCAGCGTGTTGTAAGGAGTGTTTCGTTCTTGTTACTGAGAAAACATTAGACACTGAACTTTCTGTTATTCCTGTTGATTCTTATTTATTAAAATAAATTTCCATCAATCAGGATGGTTGAGGGTCTTTAATCGATTTAATGCTGTTAATACTCTTACAAAAGCGCACTGTCACTAAGTTACTATGTTTATTAAGTAGTGTGTTAAAAATAAAGTTTGTCAAGATTAATTAACCAAGCCCTGTAGATTTATGAAAGAATCAGAATATCACTATGCTTTATTGTCAATACTTGGTCATAGTCGAATAAGTATTTGTCACGGTTACTGGAGATACTTTTCTAACCGTGTGCTGAGTACAGTGATTTCTGGTGATAAAGTAATTACTGGATAGTATATTGAAAGGAACAATCAGTTAAACTGTTAACTCCAAACACTGAACTAATTGTGACTTTTAACAGGCATATACATATTTGATTGTTCACATAATAATATATTTGATTATCAGTTATAATTTCACACTATTTTCTGCTCAAATAATACTTATTTAGTTAAGGTAAGCTTTATGAGCTGAACAGTTATTTTGTTTGGTTTTTATGATCATATTTGAAAAAAATTCATTCATTTCAGAAAAAACAACCAAATTTTAAAAATATCCATTTGAGTTACGAATTTTCGCCATTCTCCAAAAGCACTAATCACGTCTCGATTTTATTCAATCAAGTCAACAAAGTAGGTAGTCGAAGATTAGAGCAAGAATATCGATTACTACCTACAATAAGAATAATTGCACATTTTAATATCAATTATTCAAATTTCTTGTGGCAAATGTTATTTACCCAGTTATTGTCATTGTCGACAGATGCCATCATAGCTGTTTAGTTATTTAGAATTCTTAAATAAAGCAAATTCACTATTTCGCCATATGTTTCACTGAATAGTGTTACCTGTGATGAAGTAACAGTATTAAGTAGACCTTTAATTGTTTTGTAAAAACTCAGCAAATTATTGACTACATATCAAATACTATTACGGAAAAAATAGACAAAATGAATAGATGTTTAAAGTGGATAATTGTCAATATTTG